AGTATGATGTGAGTTATAGAATGACAACTATTGATTTTGACATGTTGATTGAGAAATGCTTGAGGACAAACATTAGATAAGTGAGGACATTGATTACTCATTGATTAGATAATTTTAGTTGTTAACTTGGGCATTTTCATTCATTTTCAATGCAGGACATTGAATTCTAGAAATTATGCTAAGAACAACGAAATTGTGCAATTTTTTTTTTTTTAGATTCATTGTCGGATTAGTGGGCATGACTCTTGGCATGATGTATCTGATGAGGCAATGAGTCAGTACCTTCCAGAAGATCCAATCAGCGCTTCTAGAAGAACGAATGAGTCTTTCACGTTTTTGAAATTCGAATTCCAATTAAAATCATGTTTTTAGGATTTTAGTTTAAATATTTTAAGAATTAACTTTAAGAATTATCTCTTGTTTTTAGGAATTATCTTTTCTTAGCTTTTTAGGATTTTTAGAATGATATAAATACCCCTTGGGGTAAGCCTAATGGAATCATTTTTTCTTTAGTTTAATAAAAATTCTTTATTTTATTTTCGTTTTCTTTAATTTTCTTTTAAGCCAAGGGCTAAAGCGATTACTCAATTCCAACGTGAGAATTGAAAATCACTTGAATAGCTTTGGAATACCTCTCTCAATCTTTACGTTTATTTTCAAAATCAAAACAGTTTTCAAAATCAAATATTGACATTAGTCAAGATGTTGTTGCGATTAAATGTGCAGGAGGAATGATCGGCTTATTGAAAGCATATTCAACTTCTTGGGAACACACTTGGTAAGATTGACTTGCTAAGAGGGAATTGAGATCAGAATTAGTAGTTATAGAAACAACAATCTGAGTCGGTCTTCACGAACTTAAACAGTTATTGATCTACGACAATTGATGTTGATCAAATCAATTTCCAAAGTTGGAATCAAAGATTGCCTTGGGTATTCGGTATATAAAGAAGAGTCACGAGGATTGCCCTTGTAGACAAAGTTAACCGATGTGAATCCCAAAGGGAAAAATCTAATTCAATGATCCGAAGGAAATTAAGTCAAAGTGAAAGCCTAATGTTGATTTTACCATATTGATTTTTTTAAAAACTCTTTTTAAATTTCTTTTTACTCTTATTTGAAATCTTTTTATTTTTCTTTCTTCTATTTTATTTCACTTCATCTATAAATCCTCACCATTACTCAAATTATACTCCATCCACTTCTTGGCTCAAATATTAAATAAAGCACGAATAAATCAGGAAGTTTCCTTAGTCTCTGTGGGATCGACCCTTATTTCTCTTTTACTACATTAATTTTTTTTATTAATTGAGAAGAAAGAATTAATTTTGACATCAAAACGACAGTTGTCATCTACGATTTCAACATTTAGGTCGAACAAGCTGGTAATTGAATGTCTTCCCTTGATCTTGAAGGCATCTCGACATTGAGGTCGAAGAAGCTCGCAGTTGAATGTATCTACTTGGAACTTGAAGGTATCGTGTCAAATGGATACTACATAGATTGTTGCGTCGAGTGCATCTCCATATTTAGGTCAAAGCAGATGAATGTCTTACCCTTGAACTGAACGCGATGTTGTCATACGGATTGCTTGTAGAGCCACCTCGGTACAGATCGTAACAAGTTGATGATGAATGTCTCCTCATTGAACTTGATGGGATCACACCATGATGTGGATTTTCCATCAACGAGTTAAAATCATTACACATTATTGGAGTTAGGTTGTCAACTTGATCATCTTGTTGAGCCAGCCCATAGTGGGAACAATACTCACTTCAACAAATATTGCATACATTTGTGTATCAGCGTCTAAATATTGATTTTGAGAATTAACCATCATAGCAACATCATCATTTTTGGAGAGTTCGAACGTTGTATAAGTTAACAGAAATACTGTAGTTGGAAATAAGTACTGAAGTGATTACAATCTTCTAGTACTTCCAACATGAACATTCCTTGAAATTTTCGTTATCAGCTCCTCAAGAGTGATGTTTCTCTTGAAAGATATTCTGACAGAATGATTTGATACAAAGACGACGTCAATTTCATCTTCCTGAATTTCTCCATCATAATAAACAATAGCTGAAGTACGCATCATTTTGAGAGTTTGAAAGATTGAAAGTCTTATATCTACAAAAACAATAGTTGAAATATGTATAATTAAATAAATAATATATGAATTAAAATATAAATGAATCAAAAAAATTAAAAAATTTCACAATAATTTAAATAACATAATTTCATATTGTTACCGTATATGCAAAAATGTCTCGAGGCATGATCACACTTTTTAATTTTACAATCGTAAAAAATAATAAAAAATAATTAGTACAATAAAATTTATTCAAATAATCATATATAAAATAAATATAATAAAATTAAAAAAATAGTTTTACCTTACAAGAAAAATAAAATGAATTGTAAAAACAAAAACAAACAAATAATTTTGGTGTGGTGACGTTTGCATTTAGTGGAGATTCTTATTTATAAGGAGGGGAAGGATTTAAAAGACAAGTTGCTCGAGTAATAATAGAGTATCAATAATTTAACGTGTACAATGAAAGACGCGAATCATTATTCACGCTTTACGTACATGTCAAAAATACCATCCACACCTTATCTTACGTGACTCCAACTTAGACAAAACCATAAAATATACGAATCGTCATTCATGTCTGTTGACGAAAACGGGTAAAGAAAATGAAAGAACACGAGAATTTTACGAGGTTCGGCAATGTGCTTACGTCCTCGGTGCCTAGGCGGCGCTAGAATTTTATTCAATGATCTTTTAGGTCTAGGTTACATCTCTATTTATAATAGAAAACTCTGGTACATAATTACAAAATCAACCCTGTACCGTACTGCGGGGGCTACGCCCCCGCACCCTCAACCCACATAATTCGTAACCCCACAACGAGACTTTCTTTGTAAGGACAATTGATGTTCGCTTCGCTCACTCCGCTCCATCTCCTGTCCTCTTTACTGGTATATTTATTAGCCATACCTAACAATGTCTTTATTTACGTGGCTTCAGTTCGAACATAACCATGCGAAAGCACATATATTTATTCGCGTTTTGCAAAATGTATTAAAGGATAATATTAAAAGAAATAGTGTGTGACAAGTAATTATTAGGGGGTAAAAAAGCCAATCAAATAAGGCTGAGCTATTATTTCTTATGTTCCTGCATTGCATTCAATTTCGACAGTTGATGTATCATACACCAGAGATCCATAGGCCCTACTGCTCTATTGCTGTTGCTATAACTTAGCTGTTCTTTGAGCCTCAAAGACGACATATATCTACCTCAAAGGCTGTCATGTGATGTCATGGAGTGCTTTTAAGACATGGTTAGTAATATCCGTCGGTAGTTTAAAGTGGGTGAAGCCATACACCGCACGTTAGCTCTCCCCTATTTGCCAGCCTCGATTGCAGAACGGCAGAACCACCCCCCACATGGTTCACATGCACCACATCGGACCACACTTTCTTCTTCTTCTTCTTCCTATTGCCTTCTTAAATTAAAATACAAACGACTTCGTCGTGTAAAAAATTGTAGATGGAGGGAGATAACAAGTGCGTGGGTGGTGAGGCCCAATGGGCTTCATTTAACCTTTATTTTTTTCTCTGTCAACTTTTTGGTAACGAGTGTCAACGTTGAGAAGAAGACGAGTATGAATTTAATGAGAGGTCTAAGTTTGGATTTTGAATGATTAAGAAGATGAACTGTACAGATAAGAAAACTAAGCGAGCTCTTTAACAGTACACAACAAAGATACCATAAAAGAATTAAGCATGAAGAATAACAAGGGCAACAACAAATGGATTTTAAGGGTACCCCACTCGTAGATAGATATAGGATATATTATGTGAGCCAAAGGGCAGCAGGGATGGGTACATATATCTATATCTAAATGAAGAGAAGACAATGAACAAGCATGTAGCATTTTTGGTGCATCCAATATGGCCAATTTATTTAATGATAGGTGCAACCCCTCTAGATCTTTCTTTTCCTTTTCTCCTCCAACCCCCGTTATTACCACAGTTTTCAGAACCGAACCGGTTAGTAAATCGATCATGCTACCGATTCACTAATTCAACCGATCGAATCAATTCGATCGGTCGAAAGAACCGGACGACGTAATAATTATTTAAAAAATTAATTAAAAATACCAAAAATATTTAATAAAAAATAATTTTTATATCAAAGTCATATTCAAACAGTCATAACATATATAAGTTAAAACCATAAATCAAGTGAAACAAAATGATTCAAATTAACTACACATAATATTTAAGGTAAAACATATTAAATAATAAATATAATTATATAACTATAATTAAAAAATAAATTTGAGTTAAAAAATCATAACAAAATGATATTGTTTGGTTTAATTTTTTTTAAAACTATCTCACATGGCTAAGAAACATAGAAGAGCATCCCAAAAGTCTAAAGAATAAAAATATGAGAACAAAACAATATCACATTGCTAAGAAACATAGAAGTGCATCACAACTAACTTCTATAAATAATAGAGGTAATTTGGCATTCAAAATCATAGAGTCTTTTGGTGAGCATTGAGTGAACTATTCTTTCACTTCAATTAAGCTCAAATTTTAAGCTTCAATCGAGTTTCTAATTTTTTTTTTTAGTTTAAGCCTTTTTGAGTTAAAGTTTCAATATTATATTTTGAGTTTGAGTTGAACTTGATAATTTTTAACTTGCGAGTTTGAGTTGAGTTAAGCTTACTTTTAAAGTTTTCAAGTTCAAGTCGAACTCAGTAATACTCGAGTTCAACTTGGCTCGTTTAACAAACGACGTTGTTTGGTTTAATTTAAAAAAAAAAAAAATCACGGTTTTTTTCGATTTTCAACCGGTCCGATTCGAACGGTTCAACGATTCTAGCCGGTTCACTAATAACGGTTCAACCGATTTAGATTGAATCGGACTAAGTAACGATTCGATTGAACGATCGATCCGATCCGATTTCCAAAAGATTATTACTGACTTGCCAAGTATAATTCATATCTATTTCTCTCTGTCTTCTAAACATCTTCATCGTGTATATATAACTAGTTTCACAGAAAAGGGTACTCTCAAAATAAGCTTGGCTGGAGTTAGGGTTAGAGAAGATGGAATGGGGCATGGGATTGTTGCTGATGGTGATGGGTATTTTGTTGATGAAGATGAAGACGAAGACGAAGAAGAAAGAAAATCTGGAAAAGAAGAGTGACTGGGGGGTGCCCAAAGGGAGCTTGGGTTGGCCTTTGATCGGTGAAACTCTCGACTTCATAGCTTCTGGTTACACCTCTCGACCTGTCAGTTTCATGGACAAACGCAAGCTTCTGTAAGTTTTCTCTCTCTTCTCTTTGTTTGTGGTATTGTCTTCTTTGCTAATTGTCTTTTCTCTTTCAAAAATTTTCCCATCTCCCATCTCCCATCTCAGTTTTCATCTTTCTCAAAATCATGCGTTTACAACACTATTTTTTATGAATTATTTTTCATTGATGGTGGAAAACCCTAGACAGATGCAAAATCACCACTCCATCGACGTCCAATGAAAATAATGTAACCATTTATTATTTATTACATATTATTATATATAAAAAGAATTTCCCTTATCTATCAGATCAAATAATGTAGCATGCAGCCTTGTGGGGTAACCATTTATTATTTATTATCTTTTTTAAAAATTATTACTTGAGTTTTTTTTTTTTTTTTTGCAATTTAACATGTAGTAGTAGGAGTAGCTTTCTATATTTCTACACGGTCCAATGAAAATAATCTACCCCTTTTATATATCAGTATAATTTACTTGTAATTCAGATACATAAAAGAATATAGATAACATTTAATTAAGGAAAAACAATTGGAAAAGATGAAATATCATGTCATACAAAAAAAAACTGTTTTTTTCATTAAATGGCACAGTCCCAAAAGGAAATTCTTCATTAAGGAGCAACGACAGATACCTGCTACGATTGCATCCATAGCTTGAAAAAGGAAGGTGGCGGAAGCCATTAAAGCTTTTAAGTAAGTACGAACTATGGGCAATTGCCATAGTGGTGGAAGCTCCATTGCTTGTTGCAGGCAGTGATCCCCGGCTGCTATTCTCCATTGTTTTCAGCTTTCAGTGAAAACCCTCCATTTTCTTTTCCAATTTTGGACTCTGGGTGGCTTTAGTCAATGAAACCTAGAACAACAAAACAAAAGCAATACAAAACCAAGTTTCAAATTGCTGCAACTGCAATCTTCAATCCTTTACTATCTTTGCTTATGCTTGGTTGTTTTTTTTTTCGTTCAGGTATGGGAAGGTGTTCAAAACACACTTATTGGGAACACCCATCATTGTGTCCACAGATCCCGATGTAAACAAGGCGGTTTTGCAGAACCATGGCAACACCTTTGTCTCTGCTTATCCCAAATCGATCCGAGAGTTGCTTGGCGAACATTCCATACTTCAAATGAATGGTAATCTCCAGAAGCGACTCCATGCACTCATTGGAGGTTTCTTGAGAACCCCACAGCTTAAAGCCCGTATCACAAGGCACATTGAAAACTGTGTCAGATTAACCCTGGGTTCTTGGCAACACATGCAGATGTTACATGTTCAAGAAGAAACCAAAAAGGTTCGTTCTTCAAACATATATAATTAATCCTCCCAAACATATACTCATGTATATTTTGACTATGGTTCATGGAAATGTCAGATAACATTTGAGGTTCTGGTGAATGTTTTGATGAGTGTTGGTCCTGGTGAAGATTTGGACTTTCTGAAGAGAGAATTCGAAGAATTCATCAAAGGCTTGATTTGTTTGCCCATCAAATTACCAGGAACAAGACTATATAAATCTCTGAAGGTGAATAGATATCTATTTAGCGTTTTTTTTGTATTTCGCCTCGTTGATAATTTTTTTAGTAGGTTTGGTTCTTATTTGTTCGTTGTAGGCCAAAGAAAGGTTACTGAAAATGGTGAAAAAGATAGTGGAGGAGAGGAAATCGGCTATGGAGAAAACGGACGAAAAGGAAATGCCCAAGGATGCAGTGGACGTGCTGTTACGAGACAGTGAAGAAGCAAGCGAGAAGCAATCCCTGCCGTTGGATTTCATCAGTGGGAACATAATAGAGATGATGATCCCTGGAGAAGAGACTGTGCCCATGGCGATGACCCTAGCTGTCAAATTCCTCAGTGACTGCTCTGTTGCCCTCCACCAGTTGATGGTACGTATATAATTCATACATAAATATGACCTTTTTATTCCTTCATCCAACGGCTAGGATTATTTTGATTTCATCTGCAAAAGTGGGGATGCCCCAAAGCCACAATATTTGACTTTTTTTTCTTGAAAATGCAAAGGTTTTTTTTCATGGTTCCCATATTTTTTTCTGCATTAGACACACGACTACGTGTACAAACATGCACGTGTAAGACAGATTGTGCGTATGGAGGGCCCCAAATTCTGTCATAAAATAGACCATACTTTGGCCTGTAACTGTAAGAGAGAGTACTGTAACTCCCTTTTTACTTTTCCTTTTCCTTTGTCAGTTTCAATGGACCCTTATCTTGACATTACCATTTGTACTTTTGGGATCATAATTTCTGAAGTGAAATTTGATATAGAAAAAAAAAACCCTAAGAATCACTCGAGTTTTTCTATACAAAAAGAAAGTACCAGAAATCATGTTGTTTATTAAGAGGTTTTCTGCATTTATCTCTAAAGAAGACAATACAGATTAGAACTTAACTGTGTTGGACAAGACATGGAAACTTCATAATAAGTACAAAAAAATTGAATGTCGGTTTGGTTTGGTTTCATGATAAGATCTCTACTGGAGAAAGTAAATGAAGAAGAAACACCATGGGGGCGATCTTTTAATTTAAGGAATTAAGAGAAAAATGTGAAGATAAAAGAACTAAAGATGCTTGATAGTTGCAGTCTGTACCATACCCTTTATACTTCATGAAGAACAGTAAAAGCGATCCATTGGCATTAGTTTTTGGTTTCTTCATTGAAAAAGCCAGCCTTTTCTGTAATCTTTCTTTTTGAAGCAAAATTAGAGGAGTTTTTATGTATAGCAGAGTTTCAAATCGCGGTTGCATTTACGGTTATTTCGGATTTACCGTTGCGGTCGTCGTGGACGCTATTGAGCCGTCGCGTTAACTCGGTGGTGAATTCGTTATATCGTGGCCGAAATCACGGTTGCGGAGCGTTTTTTAAAAACCCTGATGTATAGTGACTTTTGATGTTGATTTCTGCAGGAGGAGAACATGGAACTAAAGAAGCAAAAGAAGGATTCTGGTGAAGATTACAGTTGGACTGACTACTGGTCATTGCCTTTCACTCAAAATGTGAGTCTCAAGTTCTAGAGAAGATGCTCTTAAGGTTTCTACGGCAAAAAGCAAACATTTACTTGAATTTTTTTTGTGGTTTTTTTCTTTTGTTAGGTGATAAGTGAAACCCTTAGACTGTCAAATATCATCAATGGTTTGTGGAAAGCACTTAAAGATATAGATATAAGGTTTTCTTTGTAGTGTTGCTTTGAACTCGAATCTGCATAAATATGGAAAAACGTAAAAAAAATCATTTAAGAAAATTGTTTTTGCAGGTTATTTAATACCAAAGGGATGGTGTGTCCTGGGCATCTTTTTTTCTGTTTCACATGGACGATGAAATTTATGAAAATCCATATCATTTGATCCATGGAGATGGGGAGGTTAGTTTAAATAGTTGCAGAGCAAATTTGATTCATCAAAAAAACTTATATTAAGAGTTTAATTTTTTTGTTTTTCAGAAACTTGGAGCTTCTGTTAAACAATAGCTTTACACCATTTGGAGGTGGGCAGAGGCTTTGCCCTGGTTTAGAGCTATCAAGGCTTGAAATTTCAATCTTCCTTCACCATCTTGTCACCACTTACAGGTAATTTTAATCAAATACCATTGTTCTTCATGATTGAAATTTCCCAGTGAAGCAATGGGACATGGTCCCATGGAAGTAAGAGAGGCTAAAATTTTGATGTTTAGTCACCAGTCACCATGCCCTGGTGGATGGGTGTCATTGGAAGCCCACCTTTATATTATATCCAGATTGCAGTCTCTTACCGTATGTCAAAACTTCTTACAGATGTGTTGCTCAGGAGGATGAAATCGTCTACTTCCCGACTGTTAAGATGAAGAAGAAGCTGCCAATCAAGGTCACCCCTTTATGAAACTTAAAGTAGTTTGGTCCGTCCATGAAACACTATACAAAAGAATCTAATAATTTATATATATAGTTTCAATTAGATAGAATAATCAGACAAACTTTGGAAGTTTTATCCCCACATCAAAAAAGGAGCCATGGGAATGGAATTGTACAACTGCATCTAAGCATGATCTTTTCATAAAGATGGGACTGGTGTATTGTGGTGTTAGTTATCATGTCACCATCTTTTTTTAATAGCAATAGAGGTCCTTGGGGCCCTTTTCTTTGTTCCTTAACTATTGAATGCAAGTGGAGATCTTGGAATCTAAACTAAATGCCTAATTTCTTCAATTCATATTGTTTCCTTCTGTTCCCAGTTTGATAATATTTGTGGTACCGTCTCAAATAATATTGTCACCACGATGTCAAATCATCTTAAGCAGGGTATTGCCTTCTTGATTAACAGCACTAGAAAAACCTAAGAAATAATTTGGATTTTGAAATTCTAGCTGACAACAAGGGTTGATTAAATTGGAGAACAGCTAACTGATCAAAGTATGAGTATTCTGTCTTGTATAAACATGTAGTGACATTGACAATACTAAAGAGTCACTTGAATGAAGATACAAGACTCGGCAGACATGTTAATTTACAAAAAAGCGGCTGCACTTTTAAGTGAATCTGGCCACATGCTAAGAGGGAGCTTTCTGGTTTCAATTGCTTGGCAGTCGAAAAGGGATAAATAGGAAAGAAAACGTAGACTTTCACAATCATTGAATGCTATTTGTGCCATCTTTTCGGTACCATTTTAATCCTTTAATGCTTATTAAGTGTGTGCAAGAGTTCATTAAATCTGTTTTACAAAGGGTAGAGCAACTTTTAAAGATTCTCCGAGCTCAAAAATCTGATTGATGGTGTGAACACTAATTTTGTCAGGTCTCATCCATCAGAGGTGATAAATTCCTGATTAAGGCTTATAATCATGGAAGCAATAGCAACACGGAGAATAAAGATAATAGAGCTGCTATGAAACATAAGCAGCTCAAAATCAACAATTGCATTATTTGAATCATTGGTTTAAACATGGTCATGAAAATAAAATTAAACAAAGATAGTAAATGCAACAACTCCTCATTAGACAGCTTTGAAGGCCTCTTGTCTTCAAATCCACTTTTTCTCAAAATCCCGACAATTTTCTCCTTGAACAAATTCATTTCCAGATCAGAGCTAGAGGATGAAAGGCTATCCTCCCAATGGGTATCTTTTTCTTCATTGTTACCATCATAATATTCATTACATTCATAATTATGGCCGATTAGAGCATTTCTCTATTTGAGCTCGTTGTTTCAGCCAATTTCAGCAGCTGTATCACCTTCTTCTTCTGCTTAAACGTGGCACCTAGGGTCTTATTCTTCTTGCTAAAACATGACCTTGTGAAGGCACACCACTCGTTAAGGTTAACATTGGGGATTTCTATTTTGGGTCGGATTATTACAACAGAGGAATCCACTTTAGGGCAAGGAAGAAACTCCCTTTTGCTTACATCCATTACGAATTCAACATCAGCCACCAACTTCACATTCACAGCCAATCTGTTGGACTCCGAGTCGCCAGGCTTAGCTAGTAACCGACGTGCAAACTCCTTTTGAAGAAGCAATGTAGCACTCCTAAAGAGGTTTCCTCCATAAATCAATTTAGCTATAAGGGGGGACGATATCCCATATGGAATGTTGGCTACAACAAGATCGAATCGAGGAAACTCCGCCTTCATTGCATCTTTACATATAACCTGCAAACAGACATTTCATTTTTATACGTAATAAGAAAAAAGGTAAAAAAAAAAGTTAAACACCAACAAGGCTTAACACTACTTCCGGTTCTCTTAGGCATTTCATCGAACATGTAAATTTCTAAACATACATGGAGCCTATCTTGCAACCCTTTACCAGCAACCCGTTTGTTGAGAATCCACCATTCTTCTATCAATTTCGACTGCGAAAACCTTTTCAGCAGCCTCAAGGAGCTTGACAGTAAGGTTCCGGTGCCGGGTCCGATTTCTAAGACGGTGTCAGTAGGTCTTATGTCGACCTTTCAACAATAGCGTCGAGAATCCGTGTGTTGGTGAGGATGTTGGCCTTTGCTCTTATACAATACAAATGGTCTTGCTGGTTCTCTTTAGGGTTTCGAATTTCTTGGTTTTTCTCATTTTCTTCATCATATTTGCCAGAACAATGACTGGATTTTACCCTGAGATTTCGTTTAGAGTTCTGGAAGAAAATTAACCAAGAACGGTAGGTCGGCGTTGATTTCGGTTTGAAAAGCATTTGGCTTTAGGATTAATGAATATGATCCTAATGCAAGAAGTGCGAGAATAATATAGTTGTGGTTAACTGGTTATGAACATCAATGGAACAGCCTAAAAGACTACAACACAGTATTCGATAGACCCACAACAAGAACTTCATGCTATTTCAGTGGGCTTGCAAAAAGTTTTTTCCCCTTCCAATACGGCAAACAGTATAATTAATCAGTTGCGTATAGAATTTATTTAAGAATGTATTATATTTGTTACAGTGCTTGAAATCGTCAAGTTAAAATAAAAGTTTTAATAAAAAATATTTTTTATTCAAATTTATTTTCCTGATGTAATAAATTTTTAAGAAATTTATTTTATTAAAATTTATCACCTTGATGTGAGTTTGAATAATATTTTTTTGAAACTCATTACCTCGACATAACGAGTTCCATGAACACTAGACCTGGCAAACTTAACCCGAACCGATTTACCCGATATTAACCCGAACATGATAATCAAATTTGATCTAATAACCGACTCATACCCAACTCGAACCACACCCAATCCAAAATTTAGCTAAATCGAAATCAATCAACCGAAATGACCCAAATCGAAATTGAAATTAACTCGAACCAAAGCAACCCGAACCGAATTTAACCCGACTCGAAAGCAACCCGAAGATTGAATTGATAAAAGTTATTAAACGATAAAGTTATTTCAATAAAAATTAATTTAAATAAAATTGATAATTTATTAAAATTTAGATTTATAATAAATAATAGAAAATTTAAGAGGAATATAAAAGTAAGAATCTAATTGTAAGATTGAAATTATTAAAAATAAAGTTTATTTATCATACTTGTTATAAAAATATTAAATTTATAATAAAAATAATAGAAAACAATTAAAACAAATGAAATAATTTTAGACTTATAATAAAAATAATATAAAGTTTACTTATGTTACGACTAAAACTTAACAAATAAAGTTATTATTATTTTTTTATAATTTAATAAAAAAATTACATTGAAAATTAGAAATAAATTATTTATTAAAAATTATTTATTTATTAAATAGTTCTCATTATAACTTTCATACGAGATAATATAAAATTTTGATAACAAATTCTACACGTATTATATGATCATATTTGTCAAATCATCGATTTATCATCTTTAAATAATAGTTTAATTAAAAATATTGAACGATTGAGAATTGAAATTAAACATAAATAAAATTAACAAATAAGAAAACATATTTTACAAGTATATATCAATTTTTTTATATATACTTGATTTTGATTAGACTCATAACCAATTCAACCCGAATTAACCTGATTTAAAAGTTGATCTAAACCGAAAATCAACTGATCCAATATTGACTCGACCCGAAATCTAACCAATTTGGTATTAATCCGACCCAAAAATCAACAGATTTGATATTGATCCTAACCAGAAAGAACCCGATCCAATAATCACCCGACCCAACCTGATTCATCGTACACCCAAACTATATCCGAACCAGTCCAAACAAAATTAAACCAAATTTAATCTAGACCTGAAATTACTTGACTCGAAATGATCCAATCCGAATGACTCGTTTGCAACATATAATGAACACTGTAAAAATATTATAGATCCCAAATAAACTTCTATTTATCTTTTTTTTTCAATAATTTCTGTTTGCCTATTTGGGGAACCCAAAATCTTACTTTCACTGGGTTTAGCTTTTATTTTACCTTTTTTAAGGATAAACTATACCATTAATCACTGAACTTTATTCTTTCTCATATTTTATTTATTGTACTTTTAATTTTTTAAATTTACTCATTAAACTTTTAAATTGTTTATGTTTGGTCACTTTGAATTATTTTATTATTATTTGGATATTGCATGATGTTTTTATTATTATTTAATATAAAAATAATTTAAAATAAAATTAAACCTAAATGATGATCGACGATAACGAGAAGGGACAATGGTTATTTTAAATTATTTTAAATTTAATAGTAATAAAATAGTGTTTATTATTTATTTTAAATTATTTTTATATTTAATAATATAAAACATGTCATATAATAACTATAAAATAATTTATAGTAATCAAAACAGGAACAATTTAAAAATTCAGTGAGTAAATTAAAAAAATCAAAAATAAAATGAGTGAAATAAGAAAAAGAATAAAATTCAATAATAAATGGTATGCTTTATTTTTTTTAATTATATTGTAAAAAAGGTAAAAAAATCATCTATTGTGAATAAAATTGATAAGCTATATAGAATAAACTACTTATTTTGACAGTGTATCTATTTTGTGTTTTTCCATTATCTAGTTATTATATATATTATATTTTTATTTTATACTTACCGTCAAGTTCATTAAAACAAAGTAGTAGTGACAGTATAATAATATTTTTAGTTCATAAATCCCATATATATTATAAATCAACGGAATATAAATATGGTAATTTGACCAAAAAATACTATACAAATAAAATATTACCTGTCAGTTATTGTTTCGTAAATATTGTCTGATCTAACTCCTGAGAGAAGGAGGCGCATTCGATGAAACGCGCTTTAAGAGTAAAGCGCAGTTAGTAGGAAGCGTCTTAGTCGAAAATCGCTGACAGCCAATAAACTACTGATACCTCTAGAAGGCGCATCCCTAGGGGCGCACCTTACTGGGGTTTTCTAACAAACCTGGAAGGCGAATCTCATAGGGCGCGCCTTCCCTCTCTCGCCCCGATTTCTTGCCAAATTTTCTTGCCTATTTCTTTACCGGCTGCCTATATAAACCCCCTCCC